TCAGAGAAAAATCAGAGTTTTAGAAATAACGGGACGCTCGGTAGAGCCATTATATTATATTCTTTACAAGTGTATGTAAACTTTTGACCACAACTGTATGTTGTGATTGTATTGTATTGTATTGTATTGTATCTTTATTTGTTTCAGACATATAAAACAAAAAAAACAATATATACACACACTACATATATTTTCATTTACAGATACGAATATATATGTAGATATACACACACACATGTATGTGTTCAGATAAACAAAAAAGTAAAATAATGAAATAAAACAAAATCAACAGTGATCAACAGTGTCAAAGTGCACCAAACTGCTGAGATGAAGCAAATGTTGTTGATGTGTTTCCAGATTCCTGGAAGGCAGAGTTTATCAAGAATGAGAGGAAGAAGCTGCTGAATTACAAAGCTACACTGGTGAAATCCCTGCAGCCGAGGATCTACTGCCCATTCGCTGGATACTTTGTGGAGGCTCATCCATCAGACAGGTAGAGTTTGTAATAAGGGTTTGCACAGCATCAGAGATGACTTAATAAAGTGCAGAGCTTTTTGGTTTTGAACTACTTTTATGTTCCCTGGCAGAAGAATCCTCACAACAAAGTTAGCTGATCTGATCTAAATTCCAAGGCCAAAGCTGATATGTAGTTCATCTGGACAAGTTAATATTTAAAACACAGCTATGTACAATAACAAACAAAACAGGGTTTGGTCTATATATGGGCTCCTTTTTCTATCTATTCCCTGTGTAATTGTAGCTCTGTTTCAGCTGTCTATGAGCTGATATGCAGTTTATTTTGACAAGTCAATCTACAACCATGACTCCACTTTGATGAGCTGCTCCTTTTATACTGAACTGTGTTTATAACTGTCAGCAGCTTAGATTCATTTATCACTGATTTTAAGATTTTCTATCAGGTTTTTTTTTAACGTTACAAAATTCTCCCAGACTTGTTTTGCTGCTGCTTCGATGTTTGTGAAATGTGTTGTTAGCATAAGACCTTTAAACTGAAGACTTTTTTTTCTCTTTGATTCAATACATTTGTTATGTTATTAAATAAAGATGTGATTAACATTATTTACATCATACACAGCATTCATGTTTTCTGGAAACATGGTTGTACAACACAGTTGTGGCCTTATGTTTTGACAGTGACACTACTGCTAATGACTGTCAAGCTAAACACATGAGACCTAATTTGTGCTTTATGTGTCCCTTTACTAATGTGTCTGTTTGTACTGTGTGTTGGTTGGAAGATACATAAAGGATTCGAATATCAAAAACAGTGCAGAGGACCTCAATGCACTCATTAATAAGCTTGCACCGGCAATCAAAACTTGGACACCGCAGCCAGGTGCTGTGCTGGACCTCGGCCTCGCTCTGAGAGACCCCACCAACAGGTTGGAATAGCTCACATGTTTATCTGTGTTTTCCATTCCTGGTCGATGTGGGAAAGAAAGAGACTGTTATTCCATCTTTGTAATACAACTACATAAAACACAGAAATTTAAACAGTAATGTCAGTCTCTACAATGCCAGTGTATAAACAGATCATTTTGTTTCTGAGAGTCTGATGAGGAAAAAAGTCTCACTGTCCAAATATTCATTGTCTGCACTGCAAATGTAAAAGTAAAATGTGTCACTTTTATTGATTTTTCTTTGAGCTGTAGCTTCAGCCCCGTCTTTTTCCCGTTTTGATGTAAGTGCCCAGTAAATGTATATGACTTTGATTCTTACTGACAAGCTACTGCTACTCAATTATTTCATGTAAAGGAGAAAATCCAAATCTGACTGCATTTGCCTATGTTGTGTGATAATGCGATGGCATTATTTTGTTTAAAGAGTCATTATCATTATAAAGAGCACAGGCAGGATTAGTAACTTTCCAAATATACAACAGGGGTCTCAAACTTAAATGAGGTGTGGGCCACTGCTGGCATTGTCATGTCATTGGAGGCCAGTTTAGTGTTCAAGTAAAATGGTACTACAAAACAAACAAACAAACAAACAAACAAGAAACAACGACTAATAATTGTGAAATTGTAGCGTTTTGTTTGGTTTGTTTGGGGGTTTTGTTTTTTCAGATATTGTATAATAAGACAAAACTGCAAATGTGAATGCAGATTTTTTTCCCTCCCTCTTAACTAACTGAAGCCTTTCATTGAACTACCAAATAAACACACTGGTACTCTCTTTGTGGCAGCACTTTGGCTATCATTTTGTTCTTATTTAACAAAATAAAAATGCAGACATAAGTGTACACATTAGTTTTTGACTCTCACTGAACTAACACAGCCAGTCACTCAGTATGTTTGTACTCTCTGCTCATATTGCCTTCATATGGCTGCAAGTGGTCCCTGGGCTATGGGTTTGAGACCCCTGTAATACATCATGTAAACTGCACATGCAAGTGCTAAATGAAATATTTTCTTTGCAACTTTCTTTGCTATGACCAACCGCAGGGAGGCCATCACCAATCCCCCAGCTAGTGCAAAAATCTACAAGGACAGCTGGGAGTTCGACTTGTATGTGAATGAGTTGAAGAGCGCCATCAAGTCTGACATATTTAAGCATCAAAACTGGATCCAGTTTTATTACACATGGGCTGGCTTTCAAAACTACAACCTGGTTGTGCGGGTAAATGGTTTTGACAGAAATGTTTTACTTTTCTTTGGCATTTAATTTGTTTTCATGATCTTTCCTACTTAAAAGCATTTCTCTGCTTACTGCTTCATAATAAATAAATAATAAAGAGGCCCCCAGAAAAGTTAAAATATATACACTTGTCCATTTTTGCAAGGTTGGAGGGGAATGCATACCCCCCCCCCTCCCAAAAAAAGGGGAAAACCCCCCAAAACTATTGTATATTGTGGCCCTTTTATGGACTAGCAACCTGCTAAGGGTGTACCCCGCCTCCCACCCTGTCAAAACTTAGACTCCTTCCTCTGTGAACATGAGTTAGACAAGTGCTAAAAAAATAGATGGATGGGAGGAAATTCAATAAAGAGAACATTAGAAGGAACTAAACATGAATTATTCACTTACAGAATTCAATTAAGGTATTTGGGATTAGACTGTGATGACCAATCGCAGCAGAACAGAATCCCAGCAGTGATAGGGAAAGGGCAGGACCGCCCTCTGAATTTAGACTGTGAGTTGCACGATGGTGTCTGGAAGGGAAAACGACAGATGAGATTTAAAGTCGGCAGAGCAGAGGCTGATTGGCCTGAAAAATCTGTGGGACTACAGATCTTCCTTATTGAATTTATGAATAAGCTTCATTTGGCTAATCCAATGAGCTAAGCTGTTAGCAAAGCTGTTATTCCTCATGAAAATGACAGTGACTGACATTTTTTAATGCACATAATAGTGATTTTGGTATTATTTTAGTTTCAGTTAACCTTGTAAGCCATGAAGTCCTATGGAATGATCTATAAAGTTTAACAAAATTAAAAGGAACTTCAATATTTTCAGTCTGACATTTCTTGTTTGATGAACATGCATGAACATTGGTGTACTTTTTTTTGTTATACCTGAGCAGAAATGTTCCTTGTCTTTATCTTTATATGTTTTTTTTAAAAAGAATTCTGTCGTGCCTCAGCAGCCTCTGCAGTACCTTAACAGAAACTAGAAATAGAGATGTAGTTCACATCCTGCAATGATGACATTTTAAAATGAAAGACAAAAAAGCAAAATAAAAACCCAGCTCTCTGCTCTGATTCCTCATCGTCACTTCCCTTCCTTCCAGCTGTTACGAATCACCTTGGCTCACTTCTTTTTTCATTACATTGCTATCTTACTCAGAGTGGATGCAAATCTGCTGAAATGCACATGTCTCTGTGTAGGTCATTGAAACAGATGACAAGTTTGAATGCATCACTGACGGTTATGACTATCTGGTGGACTTTCTGGATCTATCATTCCCCACAAAAAGACCAAACAGAGAGCACTCCTACTTGGAGGTGAGTCACTATAGAGCACTAAACACACAGACAGCAGCACAACAGAACCTGAATAATAGTAATTTGTCATGACTACCAAGATGATTTCATGATGAAATTATCATGTGTTCCATCTAACATATGGAATATGTTGTGTGTGTGTGTGTGTATGTATATATATATATGT